CCATTGCTTTCAACAAGCTCGACAAACTCCCTCACACTCCAGAGGTCAAGAAGGTCCGAGCACATATCATAGCAGCGAAAGTCCAAGTCAACGACTTCTGAAATGATGCCCCATCTTATTCCACCGCATCAGCTCATAGCCACCGCTCCCGCCACGACAGAGGAGGCCAGCATCATGGCATCAAGGGCCCCCGACCTTAGGCTAGAGGTCCCTACCTCTATAGAGGATCCAGAGGCAACTATGGAGCTCATTCACGCCATGATGGATGCCCACTGCGCCCCTAGGGAGGTAACCACAACCAGGAGGTCAATCAACCCCCTTGCGACCTTTGTGACCTCATCAACGCCGGCGTAGATGTCCGCAGCTGCATAAAAAATAGCAGGTCCGCACGCTACGAAGCAGAGATGGAGTGTCACCGGCAATTCAACGCCGAACATGAGGGTTTTGCTTCTTGTCAAGCGCCACTTCCCACCGGCACATCAGGACTTCACCCCTTCACAAAAAGGCTCCGAGCCGTCCGGTGGCCTATGGGTTTCAAGGTTCTTGGTGTTAACACCTATGACGGAAACGCCAACCGCGCTCTGTGGCTAACTCTGTACGAGATCATCGTAAGAGCCGCAGACAAAGATGAAGACGTCATGGCGAACTATCTACCTGTCATGCTTAACTAGTCTGCGAACAACTGGCTCCTCAACCTGCGGGAGAATTCCATCCGATCTTGGGATGACTTCATGAAAGTCTTCACCAACAATTATATTGCTACGTGCGAGCAGCCCAGCACCAAGTATGACCTGGAGAAGCTTCATCAATCCTCCGGGGAGGCCCTGTGCAACTTCATCAGACGCTTCTCGGAGAAAAGAAATTCCATTCCCAACATCACTAATGCCGAGGCCATCACCATTTTCACCAAGGGGCTCCGGCATGAGCAACTCCATGGCAAGCTATACCGCAAGAGGCCCACAACCATTGGCGAACTGATACAGACAGCAAATGGATATGCCGATGCCGAAGAAGTTGAACGGGCTGCCCGCTCCGCTCACCACCAACGCCGCAACGATGACAGTCGTGAAGACAGGCGCTATGACGATCGCAACCACCGCCATGATGACCAAGACCATCGCGACGACCGCGACCGCCGCCAAGATGACCGCGAGCCCCGGTGTGACGACCGCCCAGATAGCTCGAGAGGTAGACAAGGTCACCATTGCAGGCTTGATAACTCCATTGACATCGTCAATGCCCGGGCCAAGCGCACATACGATGCTGATTTTGGCAAGCTACTAGACGGCCCATGCCCTATCCATAAGGATGCCAAGCACACCACGCGAGAGTGCAGAGGCCTAAAAACAGCGCTCGACGGCAAATCATCAAAGAAGCCACGGCGTGAGGATGATGAAACCGAGGACGGTCAAGGCAAAGAACGAGGCAAGAAGAAGGGCCCAACATACCAGGACCTCACCAAGACCGTCGCCACCATCTTTGGTGGGAGAGCTATCTCTGAAGACAAGTAGGAGCAGAAGCTTGTAGCTCGACGTGTCATGTTGGTCGCTACATATGACGGCCCCATCACTGATCCCAAGTACCTTGACTGGTCAGAGCACCCGATCACCTTCTCTAGGGCCAACCAATGGTCGTATATCCCATACCTAGGGCGTTTCCCACTCGTCCTAGATCCCATCATCAAGGATGTGCGCTTCTAGAAGGTCCTCATCGAAGGAGGGAGCACCCTCAACATCCTGTTCGCTGGGTCCCTAGAGGAGCTAGGGATCAAGAAAGAAAACCTTACCCTCATGGACTCTTTGTTCTGGGGGATCATTCCCAAAAAAGCGTCCCTGCCTCTAGGACAGATTACACTGCCGGTACAATTCGGCACCGCAAACCACTTCCGCGTTGACTACATCAACTTTCTGGTTGCCGACTTCAACACGGCATACCATGCCATCCTTGGCCGACCAGCCCTCAACAAGTTTATTGCCGTGCCGCACTACACATACCTGGTGTTGAAGATGCCGACGGAGCAGGGGCTCCTCTCCCTGTGCGCCAACCTCAATGTCACCTACTCCTGTGAGAAGAAAAGCTTCACGCTCGCCGAGGCCACTAACATCTCTATTCGCATGCAGGACTACTTCATGTCTTCGCAGTAGATTTCCCCGTAGGACCTGGAGATCCGAACCATGGAGGCCGCCCGAGCGTCAACCAAGTCCAAGGAGGTGAAGGAAGTGGTCCTCGTCCCCGATGACCAGCCTAAGACTACTCAGATCGGGGCCGACCTCGATCCCAAATAGGAAGACACGCTCATCAGCTTCCTAAGGGAGCAAGTTGACGTGTTCGCATGGAAACCAGCGGACATGCCCGGCGTGCCTCGGGAGCTGATCGAGAACTCCTTAAATGTCTCGGCGACCACCAAACCGATCAAGTAGAAGCTTCAACGATTCACGCAGGACAAAGAGGAGGCCATTAGGGTACAAAGAACCCGGCTCTTAGCTGCCGGTTTTATCAAAGGGGTGTACCATCCAAAGTGGTTAGCCAACCCGGTTCTTGTAAGAAAAAGAATAAAGAATGGAGAATGTGTGTTGATTACACCGATCTCAACAAACACTGCCCTGAAGACCCCTTTGGCTTACCTCGCATTGACGAGGTCGTAGATTCAATAGCTAGTTGCGAGCTCCTATGATTTTTAGATTGCTACTCTAGTTATCACCAGATCGTGCTGAAGGAAGAAGACAAGATCAAGACATCGTTCATTACGCCCTTCGGCGCCTACTGCTACACGACCACGTCCTTTGGGCTCAAGAACGCGGGTGCGACTTATCAAAGAGCCATCCAGCACTGCCTCAAGGACCAGATCAGGAAGAACATCGAGGCTTATGTCGATGACGTGGTGGTTAAGTCTAAGACTGCCGACACCCTGATCACCGACCTCACCAAAGTTTTTAAAGCCCTAAAAGTGTACCGATGGAAGTTGAATTCCACTAAGTGCATTTTTGGCGTTCCATCCGGTATCCTGCTCGGCAACATCATTAGTCGTCGTGGCATTGAAGCCAACCTAGAGAAGATAGCGGTGATGACCAACATGAAGCCACCGACCTATGTCAAGGATGTCCAGAAGCTTTAAGTCGTTTCATATCCTATCTAGGCAAAAAGGGACTCCCCTTCTTCAAGCTACTCAAGATTCAAAAGAAATTTGTCTGGTCGAAGGAGGCTGACAAGGCATTCAACGAGCTCAAGCGGTTCCTCACCACACCTTCAATCATGACCCACCCGCAAAAGGATGAAACCCTGCTAATCTACATCACAGCGGCCAACCGGGTAGTGAGCACCGTCATTGTTGTTGAAAGGACCTTGATGTCGTCTAGAGGGGGTGAATAGGCATTTCTAAAAATTATCAATAATGGCGTGAGACTTTCACAGGAAATTTGGCGTGCAAAGATGCCAATGAAGATCAAGATCTTTATGTGGTATTTAAAAGGAGGTGTAATTCTAACTAAAGATAATCTTGCTAGAGGGAATTGGAACGGGAAAAAATTGTTCGTTCTGTCATATAAATGAATCTATCCAACACCTATTTTTCGATTGTGCATAAGCTAACTTCTTGTGGAGAGCTGTCCACTTAATGTTTGGTATTTCTAGGCCAATTAACATTTATGACTTATTCAATCGGTGGTGTAAATTGGGGGGAAGCAAACATAACCTAACCTTATTAACTGCAGCGGCAGCTCTAGGCTGGACCACTTGGGTCACAAGAAACGAAGTGGCCCTTGACAAATGTAGACCAAAAACGTTCTTGCCGGTACTCTTCAGGGGAATGCATTGGCTTCGCCAATGGGCGCAACTACAGCTGCATGAGGACCAAGAGTTGCTGGTTCAGGCTGCTCGGCTACTGGAGAAGGCTGCGTTGCGTTTTTTGTGTCGTTTGGTTGGCTATCTACTTGTTGGATTGGTATCCATTAGTGCTTCTCTGGTTTTTGTTTAAGTTTAGCTTGGACGCTAGTGTTGTAATAATTTGGTCTGATTCTACCCTGAGTAGATGAAGCCGGATTTTTATCCTTTATCTAAAAAAATCTATCTATCTACTATCTGTCTGTATATCTGCCAATCTATCTGTTTATCTGTCTGTCTATCAATCTATCAAAGACATGCAAAGGCGTCGACCGTCCGGTTGATGGCGTATAGTCGTGGCCACACCTAATTGTATTGCCTCCCCACAGCCTGCCACAGCCTCGAAGGCACCCCGTGCCCCATGGGAAGTAGAGCGACGGGAGGAACGGCACATTTTCTCTGGCTGGTGTAGATTTTTACTGTGAAAAAATATGCCAAGAAACATGTGAATATTTGATGGCATACATTTAATATGTGAAGAAACATGACTTGTACATAATAACAGACACGATTTGAATGGTTTCAGCACAAATGTATGATGTTTATCGTTGATTATTTATTAGAGTTATATTATTTCCCATGGGGCTCTTTGGTCGAGCTTCTCGTGGTTTCAGTTTCACCAGTAATACACCGTTCATGTCACCATTGATGGAGTTTTTTTTCTCTCTCCTTCTCAACAAGCTAGTGAAACCACTATTTTTTGCTCAGTCGACTTTGGCTTCTCTAGCTACTATAGCAATAAGCCAAAGCTAGATGAAGCTCCACCAAAGAGGGCCTAAGACAGTCCAATGACTTGACAAGACGCAAACATAAGTACCACTATAAAAATATCAGCACACACCAACTCCAGTAAAATTTGCAATAACTTGTTTCCCAGTTTATTCCACAAAAGACGACATTTTATCTTGCAGGTTGAACATATTTGACACCCTCACAATCTTGCAGGTTGAACATATTTGACACCCTCACATGTGCACACAACGACAGTAAACCTTCTCACGAAAAGACCACAACAGTTGCTGCCATTTGAGATTTGACAAAACCAAATAACTGTATCTGACTGAATCATCAACTCATCGTACTGCTTTCCAGACAGCAATATTAAGTCCGATCCAGCTAAGCTAGTGCCCAGCTGCCGTAGTAGTAGTAGTCCTGGCGAGGTCCCAGCAGTGCAGGACGCTGCCAGCAACGTCAAAAAAGGCGAGGTGGGCCTCCGTCTTGCTCAGCCGCATCGACATAAACCCCTGCCCATCGTAGAGGAACTCCACCTTGTCGGGGGTGGTCTTGAACTTGCCAGCCCATGCCTTCGACCCGCCGCCACTCGTTAGTAGCTGAAGATGACTGCAAGTTTTTCTTTGTTTTAGAACATAAGAACAACCAAGGATAGCGTTTTTAACGAAGCAAGAGTTGCAGTAGTGCAAACGGAACAGAACAGACTCCAGTTGTGGATTTCTTTGGTTACTTCTTCCAATGGCAAAAGGTCAAGTTTATGGTGTTCAGTGAACAAGAAAGCTTGCATGACATGCATGTCAATTAATTATGAACTTTTGTATATTGTCAAAGTCATGATGTTTCCGTGGAACTGATTACATGGATGAGATGATTATTGAGAAACTTTAATGCTAATTATCATTGCTGGCTCTGATAGAGAACCGGTACCTATAGTCATGGAGTATCAGTCCAGACTAATAAATGCCGGTTTTGAAACGGACACTGACATGATCCTCACATAGTACTGGGGAAGCTCTATTTACTCTTCTCGTCCACTTAGGCTTCAGTTTAGAAGCATTGTATATGTACATACCTATATCCCTCTGAAAGGACAGTGATGATGTACTGATAGATGTATGCTTACCTGTCTCTGCTGCTGACGCGCTGCAGGCAGTGGTCATGGCCATTCACGTACATGTCAACCCCTTGTGTCTGCATGCGTTGCAGTGCCATCGAGAAAGCAAGAATATCATGCAGTTTCATAGTTCATGTTAATGACTGGTGCACTACTGTGAACAATTGTCTATAATAAATATAATAACGCCGAGAAGATAACGTCATGTGAAAATACTACCTTGAGGACTGGGAGAAGCAACTCCTCAAGCTCAGTGTTGTTCCCATGCCCGCAGGCGCTGCTGATAGGGTGGTGACCCACGACGATCTTCCAGGCAGCCTTGGATGCAGTCAGTGCATACTTCAAGTCCTGGCAAACAGGCGTTATATATCAGTTGGATCAAGAATTCAGAACGCTTATTACCAGGTACCATAATCACAAGTAGACGACATGATGAGCCATCATCTCGTCCATGTAGTTGACATAGTCCCCTTGGTATACATATACCTTGAGTACATTTGCGATGTAGGTGTCGCGAGGAGCGACACCTCTCCAGTCGAACTTGGTATTGTTCCAGTAGTGGAGGATGAACGGCGTCGTGTCGACGAGGAAGAAATCCGCAATTCCTTTGTTGAAAATAAAAGTATATCCACACATAAAAATTTTGCTTTAGAATAAGTCAGAATAGAATATCCATATTTCCTTACTATTGTAAATGCGTGCATTTTGCATTCCTTCATTATTTGCTGACCTGAGTTGACAATGAAGGACTTTGCAATGACGGTATATCGGCTATCCACCTTACGAATGGCAGGGTCTAGCTGCGCGAGCGCATTTCCCGTGTAGTCATGGTTGCCAAGGACTGAAACAATTTCATGGAAATTTGAGTAGTGTCGCTTATTATTCAGCTCCTTAATTCGCATCCATTTGTGTACGAGTCGGATATATATAGTACTGTTGCATTACCGAGGTACCAAGGCTTCTGAAGGCTCTTGGCAGTGTAGATGTTGGCGAAAGATTCCTTGAAGAGCGGGTCGCTGGTGTTGGCGATGCCATCGTCGTAGATGTTGTCGCCAGTGGAGATCACGAAGTCGATGTCCAGCTTCTCCCCCACCACACCCATCTACAGCAAAGCCGTTCAGGAAGAAGAGGTATCAGCAGTCCCAAACTGCCAAAGGTCACCAATACAGTTTCAGAACTATAAAAATATATACTAATTTTTAATGTAGGCCGTTCAGGATGGTATCAGTACGTATATAGCTCGGGGGAAGCAATACATATGCACCTAGTAGGGATGATTATTGTAGTACTGTTGTGTTACTTGTTAGTTTGGAAACAATAATTGGGTTTTGCATGCATTTGTCTTAGGACCGACATAACTGCTTCAACAGAAGAACAGTGTGATCCTAGCTACCGTACCAACTACATAATAAGGAGATACTATATACAATGTTTGAACACTTTCGGCTACTTATGATGAACGCCATTAACCCTATGCATCTGTCAAGTACACTTATTATTCCGGGACGACTAATTATTTGCATTATACTAGTACAGCGGTGATTTCTCCTGCCGGTGCCCTATCTTTTTCACTGAAGGTTCGAAACGAGCAGGCGCCAGTAGAGAAAATTCGTGAGCCCAGGCAAAGAACCGCCTCTGTGAACGGATTTACACTGGTAGTTCCAATAAGAAACCACCGTGTTAACGTCCTATTTATATTGGCGGTTTGCATTAAGCAACCACCAGTATAAATGCCATTGGACTTTGGTGCTGAGTTTGTTCAACGTGCATGCAAGCACCTCAAAAGATCTGTATTTGTCATGTACGTACGTAGGTCCAGCGTTCAATTACATAAGAACGATGATACGATATAAAGAAATGGCCCTACTCACGTGCTACTAGAAGTTAAGTTTTCCTACCCGTTTATACAGGCCTATTATACATACCCCCATGTACATGAAAAACTAGGAGGTGCTCTATTTTTTTTGTTGTCCAGCTTAGGCTGCGTTCGATTATCCTGGAATAGTGACCAGGAATGACCGTGTAATTTATATAGGCAAATCTCACCAGGAACTGTTCCTACCAGGAAGACCCCTAACCGAACGAGCCTTTAGTCTTTTTGTGGTCATTGGATGTAGTACAGAGATTGGTGCGATATTTCAAAAAAGATCTTTTGTAATGTAAGAAATAGTGTGACCTTTTGCAGTGCACGGTTTGTAGTTTTGAACGTCGAGACCATGCTTTGTGAGGATATGCAACTTTCTACACACAAACACACTCGCTTGTTTATTTCCAGCAAGATCCGCATACAATCCTAAATGGAAATCATTTAATGTCACTATAATGTTGGCCCCAAAAAATCCAAGAGAGTTTGATGAAAAAAAGAATCCCTCCAACAGCTTTTCTATTTGATTTATATATATAGAAATCTTCTATTCTGGATTTCTCGCTAGCCAAAATTTCAAAACAAAAAAGGCTCCCTAGAGTGCAAATATGGTATGAAAAAACTATTTGAGAATAGAAAGATATAGAAAGCAATTTTATGCTAATGGCGATTTAGAGAGTATATTTTGGAAAGACACTTAGAGATACTCTAACAATTTTGACGACAGTATATGCCCCTAATCTAAAATTGTAACTGGTTCCGGCTTTCTAGATAGGTAGCTTTTTCTTACGCGACTAGACATAATCATCATTAAATGTTACCTATACCTAGTAGAAATAAAAGGACTCATAATTTAAAACCGAGGAGTATATAAAAGCCGATGGTGTATGTCATCATAAAAGCTCAGTCACTGGTATTTTTCGTCGTGTGTGTTCTAATGAATAGTGCAGGTAGAGTGGTTAGTTGGTACGTGGTGCATGTATATGTACATGTACGCGAGCAACAAACTCAACGTACTAGGTGTCCATGCACGACCTTGCACGCCTCAATCCACGACGACGACGACATGCGTGGCATGCATGAGAGAGACAGAGTTCACGGCTTGTTTCTTTACCTGCTGGGCAACCAAAGTCTGGTTGAACTGCCCACGGCGGCCCCAGTCGCCGACGACGAGGATGGCGAGCGACCCGTCCGCCTTAGTGGGCGCGTGCTCCACCCGTGGCAGCGCCGCATCCGCCCGCGGCGCCAAAAGCAACGCCACCGCCACTGCGCTCACAGCGACGAGGAGCATCAGGCGCCAGAGGTCATGAGCTGGAGCCATGGCTAGGTTTTGCTAGCAACTCCGATGGGCAGTTGCTGCTGCTCCTAGCTGGAGGAAAGCAGCAGAGAGAGAGCACTGCAAGAGACGATGTACGATCGAGTGTATTTGTGTGTGTCCAATCGTGACGAGTTCTCGTATATTTATAGTCTTGTTGGCACGCGCGAGACCAATAATTCGAGCAGCTGCTGGTCCGTTGTATTGCATGGTCTGTGTGCGTGATGGGATCAATTGGAATGCGTTGGCTGGTGTAGCGAGGTCGTTGTGTACCGCTCGCGGCATTGAACCACGGTTGGTGCGCGACAGCAACCCATCCACGTACGGAAAAGGACACAGCCATGATTTTTCTTTTTTGCAATTAACGTTGCTAGTTCCGGTGAAGCCTTTGCTACAATCAATCATTGGTTTAGATGATCACTGCTGTGGGATGTGAAAAAAGGAAAACAGATAGACTGGAGGGTTTCGAGACAGTGCAGTACGGAAAGTAACGATCGCTGCTGGTTGAACGAAAATAAAGCATGATGGCGCCGGAACAACGTGATTCTTTTCGTGCAATTAACGTACATCTCCAGTGAGGGCACTCGCCGTTATTATCTTTGGTGACATGCATATGTGGAAAAAAAAAGGGATCGGCTATTTGTTGAACGTACAAAGGTACACTTGAATTGCGGAATTAAATACGAGCAAAAAAAATATTAAATTTGAGACGATTTGAGCTAGATTGAGGACAAATCAGAAAAAAAAAATCGACTAGGCCGGTTTGAAAAATAGGCAGGCCGGTTTGGGCTGCCCTTCGTGCACATGCTAAATAAACCAGCCTAGTTTTGCCTGGCAGTTGGCCGAAGTCCTGTACAAACCGGCCCAGCCTGGTTTTGCATGTGGTGTCCCAATCAACTCTAATTCAATGCAGATTCCTCCGAACCTGTCTGTTATCCTTCCCACGAACCCGACCCCGAACCTAGGAAGGTGAAGACCCCGACGGGCAAGCCGGGGTCCCAGTGCAGTGAGCGGTGGTGGCTGAGGAATCGCGGTGTTGACAAAAAAAATATGTTGATGCGATCAACACGTAGCAAGCTAGAAGATCTGAGTGGAACGAGACTAGAGATCTACTTGGCTTCAACACAGAACTAGTTGATTCTGAAAACCCAACGACGTGCCAGTCAATTTGACTTGCAATTGACAAGGAGATAAATAGTTCCAAATGTACGTCTAGATAGCAGATTCGATGAGGATATAGTCGATATCCAGCGTATTCATAAGAAGCGATATAAGAAAACATCATCGGCTAAATAGAACATGATTGATAAAAAACGTCGAGCCGATAAGTTTGATGAAAAGAGTATAACATGCGAACAAATCGATTATCGAATATAAATGATTCTACAAACAGTTTTGAGTCTAATTTATTATCATCAACGGTGAGGCTCGATCGGATCGATACATCTATGATAATGATAATAAATTAAAGCCAAACAATCTATAAAACCATCTATATGTTGACAGATTCATGAAAACATGCTATATGCGTGAGAGTATAGGCAAATCGGCTAAAATAGCCAATGCAGTCATAGCAAACAAACAGAGTACATATCTTGATCATGAACAAGACCACTAATCGATAATTTCTAATCTGAAGTCTTACCAGTGAGGTTCGACCGGATCGATGCAGCTATGGTAGTGTCATTAGATTAGATCTCATTAACTAGTGAGTTTATTTAAGATTGAAACATGTCTTTGGATGCATACTATGTTTGACTGGAATAGAGATAAAACAACCGATCTAGAGAAATTAAGCCATCAATTATAAGATTTGAAGCATGACCAGATCAAAGGACGACCAATTAAAATGATATGATGCCGATCTATCTCTATCTCAATCGGATGATTTTGTTATAATTAATAAAACATTAAGTATAGTAAGATCAATAACCGGTGAATCAATCAAAAACAGCAAGAAAAATTTTACTAATCTTAGCAGATTCGATAACTGGTGATATTATATTAAACAATAAGTTATTTAACACAAGATCGATAACTTTGATCTATATAATGATTCGTAAGAGATCAATCAGTTGATGCAGTCTTACAAACTACAATACAGATCGATAACTAACTTATATTATGGCTCATAAAACATCAATCAGCTAATGCAGCTTTATAAGCACAATACAAGTCGTGACGGTACTCACAAGCAAGCTGGAGGTCGATCAGTCGATGCAGCCCTGTTTGCTGAAGAACTAGCAGAGATCTACAGTACTCCTGCTCCTAATACGATGGCAAAAGTTGGAATGATTCTATTGATTGAATGTTCGTCCTTTTACATTAACCAGGTGTAACACCCGGTTTCAAGGACAAAGCCGAGTGCACACCATATGTGAGCCCTGAAAATCAAATCTCACATATAGCTACAAATGAAGGGGCAGTATCAATTCATATTGCTTAATATATAGCGAACTTAACAAAAGAGATAACCTTAGAAAGCAATCAACGGATAGACAACTCTGATCTCCAGGTGCAGACTTCACTCTACTGGATCCAAACTGACTGGTTGACCACAAGCCCAACTTCTCAAGTCTCTGACAGACTGTTATCCAGCCAGAGGTGTGGGGGAAATTACAAGAGTGAGTCCATGTCGAACTCCGCAAATATGACAACAAGGTAGTGTAATCCATAACCACATGATCAAGTATAATTGAATAATGAATTGCACATAAACAATTTAAATGAACATACAACAATTCCCTCAGTTTTCCGGGCCCCCCGTATCCGTGGGCACGGCTAGTATATCAGTTTATTAAACTCTGCGCAGAGTTGTACACTTTCACTGTGAGTCATGATTCTCATATGCCCGGGTTAGCTAGACCCAAAACACAGAGAACCATATAAAGCCACCCAAGAGCTCGTCTAACTGGCCAGGGCCGCAGGGTCATCAGATATAGGAACCCCCCTTCCAAAAATAAAGTAAAAGGTCACTTCCAAAGCTAGGCTCAACAGGATAGAGGCTGTCGTATACCCAACTCGTAGACCTCTAACCAGCTAGAAAAGGGTTTCTTAAGCAACTAGAGCCAGAGCCATATAACCCTCACAGTTGTACTGTAAATCCCAGCTTTTGCCAAAGGATAACATTCATCATTTATGTTTATATCACATTTTATTAAACAAGCCCAAGACCATGGTCACAGAAAGAAAACCCAACCTATACTTGCCTTTCACTTGCTTTACACCCAAAGCATCATGCTTCAAGAAGCATCAACTTCATCTTCCATTCTACAGCTTCGGGCGCTCAGCTTCTGATCTTCGACGCTCTCAAACGGTTCCTGTCTACTCGAAACAAGCACCACACATAGGCAAACATACAAGAAACAAAGTAGACTAAGACAACACACCACACAAGAGAAAACATCGTACTAAACGAAAACTCGTTACTACGATTGAGAGAACGCAAGAAACACCGATAAACCAACTATCGTTAAAAAGAAACGACTATCGAGAGTTTTATATATATTATAAAAAGAAAAGAAAAGCCTACATGCTTCATTTATTTTAATTGAGTAAAACCATGTAAAAATTATTAAGAGCAGATTAGTCAAAACATAACTTAATTTAAAACTCGAGTTGAAACTACTCATATTTTATTTATAAACAATGCCATATAATTTAATCAAGTTAAACTTTTACTTTACAAAAGAAAAGGATATGTGAGCATCTAAACATGTTTTTATATGATTGTGTTTGAGCCTAACAAATTATAATCAAAACATATTTAAGTTGATATTAATCAATCTAATATTCATTCATAAAAGGCCGACATGACAATCCTCGATAACTTTTAATTAATAAACTTATTGCATGCATATTAATTAAATTAATATTTAGTTTATAAATCACTAGCATATAAGTATGTATCACGCCAACGCAGCTATTAGGACGTAGAATAAACGGAGAAGAACTCGAACATGCAAATGCTCACCAGCAATAGAAACAGGATGACGACCATGGCAGGCTCGGCAGGAGCAGGATCAGAAGATGGCAGCACAGCTCAACAGGGATTCAGGGTTCGTCTCGATGAAGATCCCCATGTCTACGAGTTCTCCATCCATGCAAGCGGTGCTCGCGATGATATGACTGGTGCTCGGCAGCCAGGTGTAGGAGTGGGCGTCAGCGGCCTGCTACATAGGCCGAGCTGCACATATGGCAAGAGCTCCGATCATCCATTGCCTGAAGGTCACGGCAAGACGTACGTATAGATTGTAGATGTACGTAGAGAGGTGATGAGGAACAGGCAACATCGATAGTGCTGTTACGAGTCACAGAAAGAAGAAAAAGGATTTCGAGAGATTGACCAAGAGCTGCTGCACACATGACCATGGCCTGACTGCTGCCCTGCTTGAGCCTTCGTGGCCGGCTCACATGCAGGACCGGACTCAACCAAGATGAGGTAGGGTCGATTGCAGTGCACAATGGTACGCTAGCTGAGGAGAAGAGTCGCGGGATGTCCAGAAGTCACTCAACGATGCTGGTCCATGAAGGTTTGCCGAAAAAGTGACCAGAAAAGAGAAAGAAGGGGATACGGTCAACCGCTGATGGATTGATGAAAAGAAAGATACTTCAGCGTTGAGAGAGATCTACCTTGTGGCGACGGCGATGGTGACGGCAACTGCGAGAGAAGGAGGAGAAAAATATAATTTACTACACGAGGGATTTCCTAAACTTAGGGCTCCCCATACGGTAGTTTTGGTGTGCTTAACCCAAGGGATTGGTACATATATATAGGGCAGAGAACTCCCCACATCTACATCGACTAGCAATATGGTACTAATTGATGTTGCACCCTCCACCTTTACTAATAGGACTAATTAATTATTAAAGCCCATTAGTAAATAAAGACATGGGCCTTTGGGCATGAGGAAATCTGAGATACTTTATTATTTTCGGAATTAATTAATTTCATGGATAAAATAATTCTAGAAAAGTCCAGAATTGAATTTTAAGTCACGAAAAAT